ATGAGCACAACTTTTCATTTTGCTCTCACGCACACAAAAGAAATATACAAGAAAGTTGGTTTTTTCCTTGAATATGGTTCCCTAGAGGTTTTTCTTGAGAGCCTGTGAATTTTAAAAATTTTTTAGAAAGGAAATTTATTAAAGAGTGGTCCAAGAATTGGAAATGACTACTGTCCATCAGTAGTAGGATGGATAAACACACTGTAGACAGTTGTACAATACACTACCATACTTTAAAACCATCAAGACATTAAAATGAATGAACTAGATCCATATGTATCGACATGGATCAACCTAAAACAATGTTACCTGTAAAAAATGTTGCAAGAGTTTAGGAACAGTGGGATACAATTTAAGTACACACACACACACACACACACAAGCACAAGATAATACGATACTGCACCTGGATATGAACATATGTAATAAAAGTAAAAAATATGGTAAGAACAATAAACAACAACTTCAAGATAGTGTTAACTTGGGGTACAAAAGGGAAAGGAAGGTGAAGAGCTGGAGCTTTAGCTGAAGCATTAAAAAAACAACAACTCTGAAGCACAATGGCAAAAAAATAACATTGTTAATTCCTGGTGGTGCTTTATGGATACAAGTATATTACTTCCTATATATTATAGTTAAAGTGGATAATGATGATGGGATGAGCACAGGGAACAGAGAACCTTTCTTGGTGTTGACTGTTAGGAGAGCATTGATTCATCCTTATGTTTTTTTCTACTAAAAGATAACTTTCTGGATACAATATACAATATGTCTATTATATTATAATATGTAATATACTGTTCACAGATACCTTTTCTTCTAGTCTGAATCACTTTAATATTTAAAAACAAAAAAGTGAGTGCTGATTATTTTTCTATTATTTTTATTTAGTCATTTTCAGCACACACACACAGGTCCAACCGCCAAAATGCACAGAGGAAATGAGCTCCTGCCCTGTTCCCCACAGTCCCACCCTGTGGTTGACACCGCTGTGGCCCCCCTCATCCTCTCCCACACACACAGGAATTCACTGTGGCTGCTTTACCCTATAGCTGTAATGCGTTTGCTCAGTTTCACATCATGCACATGTCCCTCCCCAACATGTCCATTGAAATATAAACCAAACCGTTGTTAATGGTTGGGGTACATCTCTCCCAATGGCAACAGTTCCTACCCTGTAATGAGAGACTGAAGGGTGGGGTCTTCTAAAAGCTGTGCATTTAAAAATATATATTTTTATTGATTTCAGAAAGGAAAGGCGGGGGAGAGAAAGAGAGAAACATCAATGACGAGAATCATTGACCGGCTGCCTCCTGCCTGCCCCACACTGGGGATTGAGCCTGCAACCCGGGCAATGTGCCCTGATCGGGAATCAAACCATGACCTGATGGTTCATAGGTCAACGCTCAACCACTGAACCACACCGGCTGGGCAGGCTGTGCATTTTTTAAGCCACTAAGAGGGAGAGGTCAAAAGTAGCCCTGGCCTTGAACCTGGCTCTCTCTGGGAACATCTCTGCCAGACTCCATGGTCTGTCCTACAGGGTCTCATGTAGTTCCTGTCATTCTCTTCCAGCTCCTCCTCTGTCTTTTTGGTCACCTTTTGTGAGCGATTCCTCCTCAGAACTGGGGCAGTGGCAGCACTGGCGTGGCTGTCAGGGACCCCAACCACAAAGGTGTCTTCCTTTATGAGATAATTATTTCTTCTAATGTACATTTAGGCCTTCATTTCTAAAAGAAAAGTTTTTACTTCTAGCACATATAAAATTTAAAGCATTACACAAGAGATGGGGTTTTAAAAATTGCCTGTTTTTTAGCTGATTAGGTTCAGTGGATAGAGCGTTGGCCTGCGGACCAAAGGGTCTCAGGTTTGATTCTGACCAGGGGCACATACCTTGGTTGCAGGCTCCTCTCCGGCCTGGGCCCTGGTCAGGGCATATGCAGGAGGCAACCGATCAATTTGTTCCTCTCACATCAATATTTCTCTCTGTCTTTCCCTCTCTCTTCTACTCTCCCTAAAAATCAATGGAAAAATATCCTCGAGTGAGGATTAACAAAAAAGTAAAATAAAAATAAAAAATATAAAAATGACCTGTAAAATGTGCTTTATCCTACTTTATTCTTCTTTGTCCTTTTACCTATATTCTTATTTGCAAGCCCTATTCCTTTGTAGCAATTTGGGCTCTATAGTCCATCTTAATGCCTTCATTCTTTACTCTGAATTTCACTTTCTGCCTACTGTTTTCAAGAGGGGACTGGCTGGTGGCTACCTCCAGGGATTACTTCTCAAATGATCCCTTTAGCCTTTCCTATTCCTATTCTCATGCCAAACCAGAAAAAGAAATCCAATATGAGTAACTTTTGCTGACGTTTACATCAGGTATTATATCTCTTACTTTGTAAAACTCTTATACTTTAGAAGGGAAGACAAGACATGCAGAAATAATAATATATTTGGCATATATTGAGCCCCCAGTAGGTATCTGTTGAATGAATGAATGTAAGGAACACAAGAGATCTTAAGATAACTACCCTTCTTTCAGAAGCCCAGAGAGATCTAGAGGCTCCCTTAGATAGTGGCTTTCAATATTAGAGACCTCCTTTCATGTTGGTTGACCATTTTGAGCCGTGGAATTACAGGTTTTCCCGTTACCCGAAAGTAGAGCATTCCTATGAAAACTTTCATAAGATAAAATGGTGTAAAGCCAAAAACCAATCACCATGGGTCTGTATGGAAAAATTCTTGAGCATCCCCAGATTCCTGAAATAACCAAATCATATCAAATAACATAAAAAGCTGAAATATAATTTTACCATAGACTAATTGATGTAAACGCGAGTTACGTTCTTACAACATCTCATCAAGACTAGTATGTAGAAATAAGAAATGTCCAAATCTTATTAGAGAACTTTTATGAGTTTATTTGGGCCAAACTGATGACAACTGCCAGGAAGCAAAATCTCAATGAACTGAGAAAATGCTCTGGAGAATGGCAGGTTTGCAGCCTATTTTATACATTAGGATCTATGGAGGAGGTGTAAGGATGGTTACATGAAATCCATTTGTGTTAAGATTGAGGGGATGGGAGAAAGCAAAGTGGGGAAATCTCTGGGACTGGATAAAAAGTAAATGGAGAGACACATACATCTTTTACGTTGGTGGGTACAGGACAGTTAATAACTATCACTCACCGCATATGGAGATGGCATTCGGGGAACAAGATAACAAGGAATCTGTGATCTCTTGCTCTGGTGCAGTGGGTGTGCTTTGACAGGCCTGGAAAAGGAGAAGTCAGATATTTCAAAGGTATATTATCTTAGATGCAAAAAAGACTGTGGACAGGCTCGCTTAAGGTTGACCTTTGTCAAGGAAGCTACAGGCCTAGGATGTGACTACCTGCCATGACCTGCTTTCAGCCGCAGACCACCTAAGTGGTTCCTTCCCATCCGAGTCAGTAAGGCCCGCCAGGCAGCCCTCCCCTGAGCCTGTCAAGTTTGGGATGGGGCCCCTTTTTTGCCCAGTTCTAACTAAGCACTGTTACCGTAAAAAAAACCATTGAAACCTGTAAAGAATTTGTGAGTTTATTTGAGCTAAACTGTTGACTTACGCCAGGAAGCAGAACATCAATGAATTGAGATAATGCTCTGGAGAATGGCGGGGGTTACATTTGTATTTATACATTTGCAATCAAGGGAGGGACATAGGTGAGTTACATCAAATTCATTGGTGATAGATTAAGGAGGAGAGATAAAGCAAAGCAGGGAAACCCCTGGGATTGGATAAAAAGTAAAATGATGGACACATACTTATGGGTGCAGGAGCAATTAACATGATAATGAAGGAATCTGTGGTATCTGTCCTGGCGCCCAGCACACCTGGTTGTGCCCCAGGGCCCCAGGGAAAGGAAAGTCACAAGTTACCCAGACATTTCATAGATGCAAAAAGACAGATAGGCTCAGTTAAGGTAAAGGTTGACCTTGTCAGTAAGATACTGGCCTAGGACATAACTGCCCTCCATAACTGCTTTAGTTACAGTTTAATTTCAGACCATCCTTTATGGTTACTTTAGGTCTCTGAGTTTGCAAGACCGCCATGCAGGCCTCCCCTGAGCCTGTCAGGTCAGCATGTGGGGCCCTTTCGTCCACAGCACAATGAATGAGAACGGTCTTATTTGAGGACCTGCTGGACTAAGGTAGGGCTTTCCTAAAAGCAAAATGGACTAATTTGAACGTTTGAAAAGTGGGGGGTAGATACCTGTAATCACCCTGGGTTAGGTCATCCGAATGTTGACTTTATTACTATTCTTCAATGTTATTAGATTGGCGCACTAGCCATGGATCTGGTTCTCTTCCTACGGTGAGCCGGCTCCAGGTGTGTAAACACACTCCTTCCGAGCCCTCGGGACGCCGGGAGCAGCGCTTTCTGTCCGGCTGGGAGACGTTACCTTTCCTGATTTCCAGCACTTCGGTAGAGCAGAGCGGTGATGCGGTCAAGGCTCACAGGCTGACCTGCGGGCTCGGTCTCCAGTGGTTCACGCCCCTCTCCCGACCGCAAGAAGTCTGTCACCACCCCCTTCCTTCCCCCGCTCCATATGCCAGGACCTGGAAGCGCGCCAGGCACCATCCTTTTTCTGCTTTTACTTCTG